ATGGGGGGAGGGGAGTGTTGAGCGTACATGACATCATACATGTGACAGATCCCCTCCACGCCTCCCACCACCTCCACACCTCCCATCCCCACCTGGTGGCCAGCGCTCATCCGAGAATGCTGCCTTGGCATCATCATCACGTCGTGCTGTCCAGCTGAGGAGAGGAGGCGGCAAAGTTGCTGCGACTCTCCTACTTCTCTCTGTCTCCCAGGTCATACATGACCTGGGAGCAGAGCTGAGGGTGGGCACGAGTGCTTGCCCAGGGGTGGCAGGAGAGGGCGACCCCCCTCAATATTGGGGGTGCTCAGCCCCGTGCCTAGAAATATTGAGGGAGCTGAAGCCCCTTCCACCCCCTATAGCTGACGCCCCTGGCAGAGGTATAGTACTCTAACATAAAAATTCTGTTTAACAGTTATGGGCTAATTGCAAGGATGGAGAAGAATCTCATTCAGACTGTATATTTTTAAGCAAACTGACCCAGTTCACACCTCCCAGACTAATGCACAGGCCAGAGCATCATTATCCAGAGTCTCAGGCAAATAATCTATCACATTAGTATCTGAACCTTTAAACCGCATGTTCCAAAGACTGAAAAAGGATATACCCAAAGAGACAAGAGAGTTATGAAATATGATAAGAACAGCAAATTAGATAGTAATAAATAATAAGCATGTAATTAGCAGACCTAATAAGATGATCAAACCAACTATATGCCATGCATAGAAACTGTACTGGTCATCAAACCGTAACCTAAACAAATAAAAGCTACGCTTGACGTCAAACTATAACCAATCTTCAGGTCTTTTTCAGTCATCTTAGCTACATTCAGTGCTTAGCATGAATATCAGATGTTGGAAAACAATTTACAAGTAATGAATGGCAAAGATTTTCAAAATAAATAAATACAGCCCATAAACCATGTAGAGTAACAATGCCAGTTTATAACTAACAATAATAATCATTATCCATCCACAGAGTTCATTATCCATCCACTTCTAGTTCTGGATGAGCTCTCAATAAATTGTGGGTTGCCCTACCGATAGGGACATTCAGGAACCGTCCAAAATTAGCCTGACTGGTCACTTGAGTTAAAACATAACTATGTTGATGGGGTAATTCTTTGCACCACATCTCTTCCAAAACTAAGATGAGAGGTTGCAGGTTGAATGTGGTGAAATGGTTTCAATGAGAGATCAATGCAACCTTAAGAACAATAACGCCATCATTTTATACTCATAAAAATATCACGTAGAAACGATAATAAATTCAGGATATTTGTCCTCAACTGTCCATTTTTGAGAAATGGAAGATGAGGAAAGGGCAAAGATCAAGGGAAACTAAACCCTGCATCAAAGGTCAAGGCATACAGAGAATCTCAAATGTTCATCTTCATCTCTCTGCCAGCATCATATTTTCCCAATGACTCCTCAGATGCAATCATCATGTCAAAAACTGCCATTTAGTTTCAGAATATGCTTCAGTATTAAGTTTTCTGTGGAATGTTCAGGATGAGCAGAATCACATACCTATGTAGGAGCATCAAAAGTGTCCTAAATTATGTTACTGAGTTAAGTGTACAAAGTCTAATGCTACTAATCTTGATTTCCAAACTGGAGGGGTGGAGGAGCCAGTGGAATATTACAACCATTTTCAGCCCTTTGGGAGTAGGAAGGATGGAGAAAATATCAAAAGTTCAGAATTGTCTGCTTTTCCTTTGTAGAACACGGAAAGGGTGAAAAAAGCACTAAGATCACTCACTGACTGTGACAGGACAAAAACCACGGTTTCCTCCAACAAATTTCCCCATCCAAGTTAGCCTAGGGTATTAAATCTGAGATTGCTCTCACCTTTGAAAGTATAACATAACAGATGCTTATTATATCCAGAAATATACAGTCAAACTTTGTGTCAAGGCAGGTCACCTAGATCATGAGCAGGTTTGACAGACACGTCAATCACAGAAATTGTGAAGATGGCTATTTCTAATCCTCGTTTCTAGTGGCTGACATCTGGAAAAAAAGAGGGATCACAAACCCGATATTGGCTACTGTGTGAAAAAGAATCAAAAAGACTGAAACTTTTGGAAGAGACAGCTATTGCCCTCATTGCTCCAAAAAATAATATGCAAGGTGAACCATTGTATTACAAAAGGCAGTAGCTGCCACAGAGATAGCTTGTGCACATGGACGGATGTTTGACTCTTAGCAGTTAATAATCATTCCCTTCCTTATGGACATCTGGGTTACAGAGCAGCATAAATGAAGCATTATATAACAGGATGTTCCACTTTGCAGTTCCAACCAGCTCAGCAATATTAGAGTGTTTGCTGCTTCATTGTGAAGCACATTTTACTACATGGAAAAGTTACCAAAACGGAACTTCTGCCTTGAGCCATTAAGCCAATAAGGAGGGAAGATAGGAAGTTGCCTTATACCTTGTTTAGCCACTGGTCCATCCAGTTTGTCCCAATGAGGCAGTACCCACCTGCCCTTAAAGAGGCATTGGGGTGATCACTGCTTATAAAGCCCATCCTGGATGCCATGGTATGTAATAATGGTGTGGCCATTGCCTGCTTTGGGGTAAAGGTGGTGGCAAAGGAGCAAATTCAATAAATATATTAAGTTACTCAAAAGCCGCAGAGTGAGAGTTTGTTGGCATGGGGAGGGGCCCTCTTTGTTTGAGAGACAGAGGGGGGGAGTGGGCTGCCTGCCATAAGTGAAGTCAGGGTGGGAACTGTTGCTAAGATCATTGGTTGCTTAATCCGTTTAAATCTGATTGAACTAGATGGTCTGACTCAGGACTCAGCTACAATAGTAAAGAAAAAGCGTTTTAAATGTGTTATAACACCGTGACACCAGGTGGAGCTGTGGAGTTCCATTATGAGGTTTACAACGTGTTTTCCTGAAATGTGTGTGTGTGTGTGTGTGTGTGTGTGTGTGTGTGTGTGTCTAGATCCAGCCTCAGTGTATGGCACGTTCCTTTGTTCTCGTTACTTTTTATTGTTACTGTAGGTTTTCTAGTTTTAAATGGTGATGCTTTATATATTAACACTGTACGTTTTTTTAATTTATATAGTAGTGCGAGCCATTTTGTAAGAACGTGTCATCTAAAAAGAAGACTATAATTCAAATAAATAAATAAATAAATAAGCAAGCAAGCTTCCAAAGAATCCAGAGATTCCATAGAAGACAGTATGAAAACAGTACATTTGACAGTATTAAGTGTTATTTTATCTGACAGTGTTTCATACTTAATTTTTTATGTAAGGAAGGTTTCAGTTCAACTTCACATTTTCTCATAGATCTGTTTCATTATGCTTCTTTGTAGATTTGTAATGACTTCAAATAATTGAGTTACTTTCAGAGACATCAGAATCTCCGGAGAAAGCTGTCTGCCTTTTTTTTTTTAAAGTACTTAATAGTATTTCCCCTTTAATCTAGTAAGATTTGACACATGTGGCGATTCTATCATTTATAGATTAACTTTGGTTTTTCTGCACTTTTCTTCAAGTGTGCTTTGATAGATAAGAATGTAGAAATTATTCTATTAAGGTTGCTGAAATATAAAGGGATCCCTAATGTGCATGTGATGTTAAACTATGGTTTGGATATCCTTGGGCTCACATATTCCTCCCTTCCCTTGGACACTCTGCTTCTCTGACTGACCTTCTTGTTTGGACAAGCCACGGTGTGCTAGTATATTCAAATCAGAAAAATATGGTTTGAGCTTGCCCTCTGAACCAGACTTGAAAACCACAGTTTGGAGAGGGTTACAGTCATACCTCATGTTATATCCGCTTCATGTTACGTTCTTTCAGGTTACGTCCCGCTGTGACCCGGAAGCACCGGAAAGGGTTACTTCCAGGTTTTGCCGCTTGCGCATGCGCAGAAGCGCAAAATGACATCACGCACATGCGCAGAAGTGGCAAATTGCAACCCACGCGTGCGCAGATGCACCACTGTGGGTTGTGCTCTTTTCATGTTGCGAACGGGCCTCCGGAACGGATCCTGTTCGCAACCAGAAGCACCACTGTATAACTCTGGTATGGAAGGCAGACAGAAGTCATCGTTTGACAACTGAAATGTAATGGCAAACTATGGTTTGCTCAAAACCAGAAGGCAGGTTGGGAACTGAAGCAGGAAAGGCATAATGGAGGAATGGAGAGGAGAGAGTTTGCAAGTCCAAGGCTCAAACCCAATTGTCCTCACTTGTCTTATTTGGAAGTATGCACAGTTTGAACTAATTACAAATGTGGCTTTGGACAACAAATACCCCAACTGTCCGCAGTGTTCTAGCTACACAAAAGTCTATGGTGAGGTTCTTCAAAATAGGAAAGCACAGCTGCAACAATACAGAAATCAATCATTTTTTCACTATTATAATTCCATCTCCTTTCAAGTGGTGCACAGCTGCTTTTGAACAATGTATTTCAACATCAATATGCCAGGAAGCCTATTTATAAACATGACTCTTTCTTCATAAATATTTCCTCTCAATCTGAAATGGATTTTTATTGATGCTTTAGAACTGGGGCAGGGGGCGGGGATCAATGTATGTCATTAGATTTGTATGTGTGGTTGAGTCTGTTGGATTCTGAACCTTGTCCATAACACACTACAGTGGTACCTCAGTTTATGAACAGTCCTGTTTACGAAGGAATCGGTTTACGAACTCCGCAAAACCAGAAGCAGCATCCCAGGTTGCGAACTTTACCTCAGCCTAAGAACGGAAGCCAAATGGTGGACGGCCACCGGCAGCGGGAGGCCTCATTAGCGAAAGGCCTCATTAGGGAAAGCACACCTTGGTTTAAGAACAGCTTTGGTTTAAGAACTGACTTCCGGAACGGATCAAATTCGTAAACCGAGGTACCACTGTACAGGGTAAGTGGTTTGGACATTTGAGCCCTGCTTTTAGTTAATAGAATACTAGAACCTAGAATTGTAGAGTTGGAAGGAACCACGAGTTCATCTAGTCCAACCCCCTGCAATGCAGGAATCTTTTGCCCAATGTGGGACTCGAATCCATGACCCTGAGATTAAGAGTCTCACACTGTATCGGCTGAGCTAAGCCACAAGTAGTTACAAGACTCCACGAGCATGAAACATACAGGAGTAGAAGACCAATGACAACATAATAGAAGGTTTTAGCCCAGTTCAAACATTCAGACCTATTGCAATGTCTTTGGGGTCTGGGACCAGATCTAAATAGTGTATTCACCTGACATCAGGCAGATCACATCTTGTTTGAATCATGTTTGCCAGTTCACCCAGTATGCATGATGCTTCTCCCTTCCAACACTTATGGAACAACCATACTGAGCAATTTGCCAGAGGAGCAGGACCTCCTCTGAAATTATTCTTCTCATAAAATATCCAAAATGTGGCTTACACTTACTGTTCCCAACCCAAACCTGCAGAAATTAGACTTTAATTTGATTTTGACCTGTTTTTAGGAGGTAATTGAATTATTGTTTGATTTTATACGAATGGTATATATCTGATGTTAGCTGCCCTGAGCCCGACTTTGGCCGGGGATAGCGGGATATAAATAAAAGTTGTTTATTATTATTATTATTATTATTATTATTATTATTATTATTGATGATGATGGGTAACTGCATTGCCCAGTGATTAGATGTTGTTCTACCTTAAATCCATTAAAATTGTGGGTGTTCTCTGTCCTCCTTCTATACAACTCTCCTCTAACCAAACGCACTCACACTACTTTGCTAACAACTTATACACACACACAAAAAAAAAATCATGGCTGTGTCTTCACCCTGTAGCATTTTGTCACAACAAGAGGAGCAAAGTCACTTTAGAAAGCATCTCTCAGCTGGATGTTTTCCTATTTTTTCATTTATATGTATATTTGGGGAGGTGGGGAAGCAAAGTGTTTGTTAAGTACCGACCGCTGCCAGCTGATTTGCAAACACTGCCACCGTTTCAAACACCCAGAGCTTCGTAGGGTGATGGACCTCATCAGGCAAAGGGTCTAATGCCATGCCTCAGAAATTGCTTTGCACTTCCGCAGCCCAAAATGTCTGAAGTCAAAAGAAAAGGATTAAAGAAAAGCTGGCAGCGCTTTGTCTGGGCTGAGCAGCCGCCCTGACACATTTCTCCTCAGCATGCTTCTGTAGCTCAATACAAGGTCTTTTGATATTCCTCTGTTTTCCCCTCTTAGCTTGTTATTTTTACCCCTCCCAGTTTAATTTCTTTTCCTTTCTAAAGAGCCGCTTTAACAGCTGCATCTCCAGCTGTCAAGTGAATAATTCAGGGGCAATTTCTCACCATTACGTGATTGGTCTACAAAACACATTAAACAGTCTTCAAGGGGGGAAAAATAAGCTTCATATGACAGCTGTGTACACTTAAAGGGAGAAAAAAATTCTTTTATTAGAGAACAATGGAGCCTCACACAATGAGCACACAGATTTTACCATTCTTTCAGCAGAGAACTTGTCATGAAGACATTAACTCAGTTGATGAGGTGCCTGCTCTGGAGTTTGTGGCTTCCAAAATCCTTCTTTTCACACAGTCCAAGAAATCTTCCTGTAGAAAGTCAGGCTGGAATATGACTTCTCTATCGCCCCAGAACATGTGTGCAGGAACATGATGCCTTACTGAAGCTAAGAAGGTCTGGGTCTGGTCAGCGCCTGGTTACAAGGCTGCCTGGGAACACTGCAATCACATTCGCATCATACCTTTTAAATCACTATGATACCACTTTAAACATTCATAGCTTCCCCCAAAGGATTCTGGGAGCTGTAGTTTGTAAAGGGTGCTGGGAATTTTTAGAGGACCCCTATTCCTGTCCAAGAGCTAGGATTCCCAGAGTATGCCTAACAGACATATTTTTGCAAAGCAATTTTCCAAATATAACATATTTTGTATGTTATTTTCACTAATACAGTACACATACCATATTTATATGCAGAATTCATCCTAGTATATAGTTTTGCACACATTACTTGGCTGGAAAACTGCACTGCAAAATTTGGAGACCATCAAATCTCAAAGAATGACTGTGTTTCAATTTGCATATTGTTGCAGAAAGTGTGAATTAGATAAATTTGCCTTTCAGTGTGAATGGAATTAAATTTCTTTCCCATCCCTGGAAAAAGAGACAATGTAAACCAAGAAAATCTTTAATAAAAAAAAGTGTGTGGTTTTTTTTAAAAAACACACACCTCCCATTCTTACTCAGTTAGGGATTTTAATAGCTAGATATACCCACCCTCACTAATTTAATGAGTGTCTCACCACTGAAAGCCATGTGGCTTGTGCAGTGACCTTTCAGTTCCTTGATCGCAAATTTTCAAAAATCTTATTGAACTGATCAACTTTCTTGCTGTCAGCTCTCCAGGGTCCAGAAACTCCTCTCCTAGTGATCTGTTCAACTCTGCTTCAAAGCCTTGTGGTACTTGCCATGTACAATGCACACATTTATCATACAAGGCTTAATGCTCTGCAGATATAAATTCTTTGAAGGATTCCTGAATGCATCAACAATGTCTATGTTCTTAGCCACTCTTAATGGAATTGTGCAAAGTCTCTGGATGATGGATTGACTTATATTTCAGGCAGGTGAAAGGGGTTTTCACCATCCTGGTTATATCATGGCTTCTGACTTCTGGGATATTAGTCTGGACTTCTTGCTGTTTAAGTGCTCTCCTTAACCTTAAGTAGTACTTCATTGTACCTCATCGGCTTCATTCTCTCACAGAAAGTTCATGCCCGAAGCTACAAAAGCATCTTGCGTGTCGAGGTCCCCAAGCCACCCCCTAAATAAATAACAATTCACACAGAATATTTCTTTAAGGTTTTTGGCATAATTTTGGCCACAACTTTATTAAAATACATAATGTGAGTGGTTGCTTAGGCATTGGTTACGACTATCTGTCCCTGCCCTGGGACAGAACTGACTTCCGGATTCCAGCGAAAGCCAGTAAGGGAAAACACTATTGGGGAGAGAATGGAGCTGGGCACCATACCGTCACCCCTCCCCGCATGCTCCCAGGGGCTTGCGCGGCCCAAGCCCCTTGCCAGGAATTCGGACAAAAGCATGGCAAACCCCTGGATTCCTTTAACGGAATTCCCTTGCAGCAGCAGCATTGGAGGGGCAGGCACAGCCAACCCTTACCCCTCCACCAACCAAATTTTAACCAATGCCTAACCGCAACCTTACAAGTTGTGATGATTTGCTACGCAGTAGGCAGAAACCAAATGGCACCAGCCAATCTGCCAAATGTACAAAATTCCTACCAGGCCTGTTATGCACTGAAGTTCTCACCCTGAGCCAGCAGGGGGATACTGTAGATAGTTCAGGTCCACATGTGCAAATAAGGGATCGGAAGTGACATTCAGTGATTGGATAGTTACAGAAAATGGTTACTGTTGCATTCTAGTGGAGCTCTATATAAGCAGGCTGGCTGAACCCTTCAGTTCAGTTCTGTTCTGGCCTGTGAATAAACAAGAGCTGTTTGAAGAATCGCTGTGTTGTCTGATATGTTCACCCACAACTTAACAAGGCCCCTGCCCCAAAAGCAGATGACCCCATGACAGGCATAGTAAGGTCAAACACAACATCCCTAAAATTAGGGAGGGTGGGCAGGCGATCCGATGCACGTAGCAAAAGAGACTGCACCAAGCTGCATGCCAATAATATATAACCTTCGGGCCAACCCTCTAAATGGTAACATCAAAATCTCCCCAACAACCCAATCTAGCCCAATCACAGTCATGGTCATCCAAACGGTCCCGCCCAGCAACCAAGAGGGGGTGTCCTGCTAGGCCCAACCGCAACACGTGCTCTCCATGAAGGAGAACACGCTTTACATTTCAGGTAACAGCTATGTGAATTCTCTGTTTTATCAGTTGCCATCTTGCTATTACTTGTTCACAGAATCATAGAGTTGGAAGGGGCTACGAGGGTCATCTAGTCCAACCTCCTGAAATGCAGGACTCTTTTGCCTAACATAGGGCTGGAACCCACAACACTGAGATTTAAGAACCTCATTGGATAGCTCAGTAGGTAGAGCATGAGACTCTTAATCTCAGGGTTGTGGGTTGAAGCCCCACATTGGGCAAAGGTTTTCTGCATTGCAGGGGGTTGAACTAGATGACTCTCGTGGTCCCTTCCAACTCTACAGTTCTCTGATTCTATGCTCATGCTCTACCAACTGAACCATCAATCCCTACAAGACGGTTCATTTGAAAGGTGCAGAAGTTCATCAGCTGTGTAAGGATGCAGCCACATCATAAATTTGTGGCAGTGTAATCTTCATTTTGTGGGATGTGGGTAGCGCTGTGGGTTCAACCACAGAGCCTAGGGCTTGCCGATCAGAAGGTTGGCGGTTCGAATCGCCGCGACGGGGTGAGCTCCCATTGCTCAGTCCCAGCTCCTGCCAACCTAGCAGTTTGAAAGCACGTCAAAGTACAAGTAGATAAATAGGTACCACTCCAGCGGGAAGGTAAACGGCATTCATTTCCATGCGCTGCTCTGGTTCACCAGAAGTGGCTTAGTCATGCTGGCCACATGACCCGGAAGCTGTACACCGGCTCCCTCGGCCAATAAAGCGAGATGAAGGCCGCAACCCCAGAGTCATCTGCGACTGGACCTAACGGTCAGGGGTCCCTTTAACTTTTATGCATTTGTAAGGTTTGATGCCACCGTTCAGTGGATTGCTGAATAATGTGGTAAGACTTGTGTAGTCTATTTCCACATTCATTGTTTGAGTACTTCTAAAGCTCTTTGGAGGGAGAGACTACTATATGTAGCATCATACAAGTTCTCCTCTTCATTGATGGAAGGAACAGGTTTATTGCAGAGTTCTGAGTGTTGAACTATATCATTAAGTAAGGGCTCTTTCACTGACACTGAAGGGCTGCAATGAAGTCAATGCTGAATAAGTTAATGGCTGTACTTTGTTCTGTTGAATGCCAGGTATCAAATCCTTTATGAAATTTCACATATTCACATATTTCACATATTCATGAATAGAAATGGATGTCAGTTGGTCTCCCATTGAGCAGAGCCTATTGACAATATAAACAACATCGGAAGTTTA